GCTCTCTATTCACGCAGGCAGGGCATAGGATGAGTTTACCTGTAACAAACAAACCCTTCTGCATTTTTCCATGTATTGAGATGGAAGACATCGCTCACCCAGTTCTGAATGCACTAGGTACTCTTTACACTTGGTTTAAATCTTAAGCTAATGAGGTACAATGAAAGATCAGTATATAAATAAATAATCCCATTATAATTTCCACTAAAGAAAACACACAACAGTAAGAAGAATTTAAATAATTGCTACTGAAAAAGCTCTAGAGTTTTACTTGCAATTGAAATATTTAGCAGGTGAATTTGAGAGGACAAAGGAGACTAATCTACCACCACTGGATTTTCCCCTCACAAAATATAAGAGGCCAAAACTATGTCCAAGTAGTCACTAAGTCACTTTTCTTTGAATCTCCATTGGGTCTCCTTCACTGGATAGCAAAGAAGCAATCTGCAAATCAGGGGATGAAGAGCCTGAGCTAATTCCGCTTTCCATAGTATGCAAACAAGAACTGATGAGAGTTGGGAATAAAAAGAGGAACTCTAGTGGCAGTTTTCTGGTAAGAAATTTCACAGCGACATATTTAGAGACAGCATCTCTGCTTTTAATCTGGCAGGTGCTGAAAGTAAGCCTAGACAAAACTCACACATACAGTGCTATTAGTCATTGTAACATTATGTACTTTAAAGCGTCCCAAATACTGAAGTTTATTTCAGAAGTGATTATTTCTTGATGTAGCACGAGGAGTATGCAAGATTGACTCAACCACAAATGCAACCGGTGGGTCAGAATCAAAGCAAATGGAAAAAAAAACCCTCACAAACAGGATGACAAGAAGTTTCCACCTAATGTTACTAAGTCTCCGTTTGTAAAGCAAAGCTTTCTTTCGCAGATGCTAACAGAGCCAACATATAATAGAGACTCACTTTTCCTTGTGGGTAGGGGAAAGCAGTAAGTTAGTAAGAACATATCAGAATTAATTTTGGGCTGGTATGCTGTGCTCATGTAAATTCTTCCCTAGTGTTGCCCTGGGAATCTGTGTGTAATGCTACTCGAAAGCAGTCTAGGCTGACAGGTGGAATACAGCAAAGCCATCAGACAACGTCAGCTCCTCCTAAAAACATGGAGTTATAGCTAAATGTTTAAACTTTTTTATGACCTTCCCTTGAAAAGCACAGTAATTAAATCCTTCTGAAACTTTAAAAACGATAAGTTCATACCGAAATGATCTTGTGCTTTCCCCTAATATTAGAGTTGGTCACACGGAGGTGAGGAGAGTAGATGGTTTGGGGGCAGGGAGTGGACCCTGACCACTCCACACGTTCACGTACCAAAAAGCAGAATACAAAACAAATGCAGACTGCAACTGCAAATATCATATGTCCCTTAATAAGGACAGCACTTAAACTTGCACCCCAAATCTAGGATTTGAAACTATTCAAATGCAATTAATACTTGTAAAAGAGCTGCCAGTGCTAAAGCACAGCCTTTTGCGCATAGACTGGTGATAATTCTTTAAAATTCCAATTCAATAGGACAGCAAACAGGCAAAATTAACCTCTATTTCAACGCTTTCTTATATTCTTTATCAACGATACCACACTCACATGAATAAGAAGGCAAACAAAAATGTGCTACAGGTAGCTTTGTAAACTACTGTTTACTACAAACTCGTACTGATGGCAAGGCTTTGATTTATTTTAAATCCTAATTACCTAGGCAGATCAAATGGACTGAAATAAAAGATATGTTGGTTTTTTTTACTAGGTAAACTGTAGCAGATACAAGGTCCTTTATGAAAAATATACAGAATACCTAAAACAAAGAGAACTCAAAGAGACATTCCATGTTCCAACAGGAAAATATATTTCCAGAGTTCTATCTGCTGCTTTTTTAAATTCTCAAGCTCTTGAATCTTTTACCGGGGGGCTCCTAGTGCTTCGCTCCATCTCCTCATTTAGTGCATATCATAATCTTCATATAAACTCAAACTTCTTAAAGCACACCATCTGAGATACCTCTCTGTTAACTAAAAATATATATTTTTAGCTATTAAAGTTCCTCTCAATTTGGAGGCTGGAGCTGTGTACAGCATAAAATATGTCTGAACTCTAATTCCTATCTAATTTAAGTGAGAAAATTCTTACATAGGAACCACAATGTTTCTGCATTACCTACACAGTTGTGCAATAAAACTATCAGCAAAATTTGTTATCATCAGCCCAATGGATTGCAGGAGGTAGAAAAACCAATGCAGCCTGACAGCAAGCCTAAAATAATTAGAGTGGGACGACACATCACTTTGGAGCTACAGAGAACTAGAAACAGCGACAAAGGACAAAAGCATTTAGATGGGTAAAGAAACGGGAGCCTAGAGAATACTTTCACTGGCATCTATTTTTTTAATGATTTAAATCTTATTATCAGCATGCTAGCCAAGTGTTTTATAAAGTCAGAATATTAAACGAGCAATCCAGAGCAAAAACGTTTGCCAGCCTGAGTTTCCATACTGTTGGTCACGCTAGGGAGAAAATGGTTGCGCATTTATGGAAAAAAGTAAAACGTTAATATGCAATGCAAAATTTCTTGAGAAAGCAGGAAAAAAGCTAATTGTGCATTTGAGCTGAGACATTATATACATTAATTTTTTTCCATGCTTGGGAGTTTTTAATTATACATCAATGTGGTAAACTTTTTTTCTAGCATGCAAATAATCCAAATTCCAAATCATAATCCAAATTCCAAATCATTTAAGACACCATTACATTGTAAATTATTCCAATAAATAAAAGAATATTTCAAGGGAGTATTCAAAATCTGCAGCCCTAGGACAACAGCATTCTGAATCCAAAATCCCTTACTGTATTCTGTCATTGGCTTCCCAGGCATCCAATATCCTTTGCACGAGGCAGCATTTCTGGAACAGCTAGAGAAAAACAGGAGATAGGAAGAACATTTCCAACATTTGCCAAAGAAAGATTCATGCCTTAGAAAACGTGTACTGAACTACAGTTCCTTTTTTTAATTCCTTCACTCCTATCGAACAAAAACTTAAAGTTCAGCACTTATTTTTTTAAGAGCTCAAATTTCTTTCTCAAAATTTTTCTCAGAGGATCCATGGAAAACAGCATTACTTACAAACGTCTTCAGTCTGCTTTTGGGGCTTCACGAGAGCAGTATTCCAAAATATTGTTGTGGTTTTACAAACACTACAAAAACTTTTCATCATGAGGCCCACAATACTGGAGGTAAAAGCTAGTTAACTAGTTACAGTTGTTATGATTTTTCTTTTTTTTTTGTTTTTTGTTCTAAGTTTATATGCATCTTTACTAAAAGAAATGAATAAAAATGGATACGTAAGCTCATTAAATGAGATCTGGTAGTATGTTTCTTTTGCAATTGGATGAACAAATCAAATGTACAAAAAGTAAATATACTTCCATCCAGAACTGGAAGAATCGAGTAATGTCTAGAGACAGTTTTAGATAAACTCTATTCTTCTGAGCAGTTTGTCATATAATGTTCTCGTTAATGCAAATTCAGCCTGAATCAATCCATGTAAAGTTCTCAGGTGATATGACCAGACTTACATGAGTCACCATGATATTCTCAGTACTGTTTTCTGGAGCCTCCAGGCTCTCTGTGGCCGCATTTCCATTCAGCACCTCTTCTTTGCCTTCTAGGTCATTAGTAGTAGTTTTTCCCTCTTGTACAGAGTGTGAGAGAATAGCTGCTATGGACAATTCCACTTGGAAATGCAAAAAGTTATTCCACGTGTATTTAAAAAATAAGTCCTGGGACAAAATGAGAAACAGAAAAAAATCCACTCTATGACACATCTTCCCATTTTTAACAACCAGATGAAATAAAAACACAGCCCCATTAATTGATTAATGAAAGTGTGCACTAAGACAACTTTTCACTTCCATGCCACAATGTCCACTTCCTGCACTTGAATGTACTCAGTTTTCTCAGCTCTGATGCACACTTTCCTACAACCTGAGCCCATTGGTAATACTCTGATAGACAGCTAGCGCTCACACCATGGATACATTAAACAAATATATTACCTACTCTGTGACTGCATTAGTTATACGAAAAATATTAACTAAATTATAAGCACAAAAATAATAATTTTCTGAAAGACTGTTCTGATTACAGTGGCAGTTTTCAGATCATGTCCTTGTTCGTGGTTAGACAGAAAGATCTGCTCTCAGTATTACAAGGTCTGTCTCCAGAACACGTCGGAGCTTTTTCAGTAACGAGACTATTTTGCATACATTGTACTAAACTACCGTAACAATAGATTTGAAGCAAGAGGTCCATTTTAACATATTAAGCAACTGTAATTGTATTACAAAAGCTATTTTGAGAATGGATGTTCCTACTTTCAGCATTTTAGGGAAATAATTAGGCACCGGCATGCATGAAACATACCATTTTGCACTGAAAAGATCAAAGAGAAAGTAAAAAGGTTCTCAATTTAAAGTTACACTGCTCTTTCACAGTATGCCACGCTCTATTACTCACAAGTAGTAAGTTCATGGTACTGAGTCTGCATAGTTCCTGATTAATACTGGGAGTGTTTGTGTGAAGCAGAGCAGCTATTAGTCGAGATCCATGAAGACGAGCATTCCCCAGTGGCTCCTCCAAGACACCAATTGTAGTTAGGATTGCCGTTTTCTACCAGAGAAACAGATATTGAGTACCTCAGCAAAGGCCGACATTTCCTTTAGTGTATTCGGACAATGATTTGACTAAACCCAACTTGTTAATTTCCTCACATAGACATTCTCTGCAGGTAAACCTAGGTCCTCTTTCTACGGTGAGAAGTGTCTTGCGACCACTGTTAGAACGAACTACACTTCCAAAATTGACGACTGAAGTCAAAACATCCATTAGGCCTAACTAACAGTTCCTTTCTTTTCCTTCCCCAACCATCTTTACACAAGCTACCGGTCACAACATATCTTGGTTTTCTAATAAATGATGTGCTTGCTTTCAGCTCCTCCTGCTTGGTTCCTAAGCACTTGAATTACAAACTTTAAGCACGGATTTTTCTTCAGGGATATAAGTTAGATCTTGCGTGTTCCAGCATGCAATGCTTTCAGAGCATATCCAGGAAGCCTCTGTATAAAGAAAGGGAAGCCCTGAAATGCAGGTCAGCAGCCTGTTTGCTGCTAGAAGAGGCTGGGGTGCTTTACCTTGGGAGGGCTGAGCAGCAGCTGGTGGAAATCCTTTAGCCTTGGTTCAATACCATATAAAATGCTGCTATTGACAGTGTAAGACCTTTCAAATCCCTGAGTGTATGAGTCCATCAGTCCTTCCACCCTGCAAAGAAGAAAAGCACAACAGCTAGAATTTGACCAAATCTTAAAATGGTCCCCAGTCACACTGTTTCTGTTGGTCATTTTCTCTTGAAAAATAACTGTGAATATGAAAAATAATCATTTACAGTCACTAAGGATATTTACCTAAGTATTATGTAAATATAATCTTGTAAATAATATAATCAAAATGTAAATGAGATAGAGTAGGAAGACAGAGAATAAGCTGTTTGCACAGCTGACTGAAAACGGCAAAGACAAATTACTGAAGTTCCTCCTGGTTTTTAACGCTTCACAAATATCTGGGGAGTAAGCTGCATCAGAGAGTGCCAACTATAAATATTTGTTTAAAAACAACCTTCCCTAAGCGTTCAGAAAGATACACATGATGAAAACACAAGGGCCGACATCTAGCATAACAACTATTATTATTCCCTTCCAACAACAGAGTCTTACACTGGAATAAAAAAAAAGAGAAACAACTTTCATTTCAGTACCAGCAGAAAGCCAGGAACGGGCTAAATAGGAAAACTTACGTCTTTACCCTCATAAATCTTCAGAGATCCCAGGGACAAGACACAGTAAAATTAGTGTCTCAACTTTTCAGTTTTAACTCTGTACGTTATTTTCTGATTAGTAATTGGTTAGTAATTGGTTAGTCCAGTGCTGCTCCCTGTCTTTTTCTTTCCAGTACCATTTCCTAATCTTCCATTATCTTCTTCACTCTTCCTTAATTTCTCCGTTTATTTTTTTAAAAAGGGACACTTTCAATGTCTCCCTTCCTCCCCACAACTCTCTTGTGCCTTTTCTCTCCTCTATTTCCAAAAAAAAAAAAAAAAAGGCGATAAAGTTTTGAGAAATAACATTTAAACTACACAGCCATACATACATCATCATATAGATTAAGCATGCTACACTATTTTCTCCCACGTTCTGCATATATTTTGCTGATAAGACAAGACCTTCCTATACATGTGCAAGAGAACCCGAGGTGCACACAGGAGGGCCAAGCTGCTAACTGACTGTAATGAAGTACCGCTACTGCATCAAAAAAAAACGAAGTAGGTTTTCATGTACTTTTTTCCAGTTAGCACTTCACACTAGAGTGCAAAAAAATTTTTTTTTTTTGCCCAAAGATTTCGCCCATGTAAAACTATATTTCAGTTCCTAAAATTGTTCTTGCTAGGGCTAGCAAGGCTTTTGACATCGTTTCCCCTCACATCCTCCTAGGCAAGCTCAGGAAGTGCGGCCTGGATGAGCGGACAGTGAGGTGGAGGGAGAACTGGCTGGATGGCAGAGCTCCCAGGGCTGTGGTCAGCAGCGCAGGGTCTAGTTGGAGACCTGTAGCTAGCAGTGTCCCCCAGGGGTCAGTGCTGGCTCCTGCCTTGTTCTTATTCATCAATAACCTGGAGGAAGGGACAGAGTGCACCCTCAGCAAGGTTGCCGATGCTACTAAACTGGGAGGAGTGGCTGACACACCAGCGGGGGGCTGCCCTGCTGGAGAGCAGCTCTGCGGAGAGGGGCCTGGGAGTCCTGGCGGACAACAAGTCGACCACGAGCCAGCGACGTGCCCTTGTGGCCAAGAAGGCCAATGGCATCCTGGGCTGCATTAGGAAGAGCACTGCCAGCAGGTCGAGGGAGGTGACCCTGCCCCTCTCCTCAGCCCTGGGGAGGCCTCACGTGGAGTGCTGGGTCCAGTTCTGGGCTCCCCAGGACAAGAGAGACATGGCGCTACTGGAGAGAGCCCAGCGGAGGGCTACTGAGATGATGAAGGGCCTGGAGCATCTCTCCTAGGAGGAAAGGGCTGAGGGAACCAGCACACTTCAGCCTGGAGAAGAGAAGGCTCAGGAGGGATCTGACCAACGTGTATAAATATCGGAAGGGAAGGTGTCAAGAGGACGGGGCCAGACTCTTCTGCGTGGTGCCCAGTGACAGGACAAGAGGCAACGGGCACAAACTGAAGCACAGGAAGTTCTTTCTGAACAACAGAAGAAACTTCTTTATCTGTGAGGATGACTGAGCACTGGCACAGGTTGCCCAGAGAGGTAGTGGAGTCTCCTTCCCTGCAGATATTCAAAAGCCGTCTGGACACAATCCTGGGTAATGTGCTCTAGGGGACCCTGCTTGAGCAGGGGTGTTAGACTAGCTGATCTCCAGAGGTCCCTTCCAACCTCAACCATTCTGTGATTCTGTGAAGAAAGTGCTAACTTACCCAGAGCGCCTCGTTTCCAGCAACGTTAAAAGAACTTGCGTTCCATTCACTATGCAATTTTCAGTCTGTTCTCCATCAAACATGTTCTTCAGGAGTTGCTCCACACATTCCTGCCTATTGATCAACACGGACACACATTGATGGTATTAAAATCAGAAATATTTTACAGCTGATTCAATCACAAAAAAATCATTTCTGGATTTTCTGGAAAAAAAGGCTGTATTCTTTTCTCTGGAGAAAGAATAAAGACATTTCTCTCTAAAAAGTCTCATATGACAAGAATGGAGCTACACTAGGTTTAGGAACTTGCTTACTCATCACTAGGACAATACTGGGTTATAAACACATAAGACTCCAAAACAAAAAATGATTCTCTCGCATTAGCAGGATACGCCTCTTGATTACAAATTGGAAGGAAATTAAAGTGTTAATTCAGTCTATTTAATTTTTTAAAGACAATATGAAGCTATTAACTCATAGTCTAAAATTATCCATCAGAGTCCCAGAAAAAAGGTAACAAATACAATAAGCCTTATCTTTGCCACTGGTGTTATAAGACCCCGAACCTGGAAATAGAAGCCAATAAGCGTGAATTGTAAATAATATGCACGTTTTCAGTAGTCCTGGAAAAGTTTTAAACGATTCACCATCTCTTTGAGGCCTTAACCAAGACAAGAGGCCCTCCAAACACTGATAGATTTGGAGCAGGTGGAGGGATCACCAAGTGAAGTTTTGAAGACTGCTGGAGTCAGAATAAATAATGATAACGGTCCTTTCTAGCGCTAAAAATAGTTTTGACACTCGGACCCTTAGAAGTTAAGAATAAGCAACACAAAGGTAACGGCCTACTTTTTTTCCCTGCAATCTGCTGTGCAGAATGAATAAAAGATACAAGCAATATGAGATTTTGGCTGTTGCTCATCAACAGTTACTTGACTGCAGCAGTGCCTACTTCCGCCTCTATATTCAAATTGTTTTCCCATGCTGATTCTGCAGATGTAATTGAAAGTTCTCCAAAACCCAGTACACAGTAAGTGCCTTTCTCATCTTGTGAAGTCACATGCTCAGCTAAAAGCAGTACTGTTCAAGTTCAGATAGACTTTTACTATTTTCTAATATTTGAAAAAAAATCATTTATATTTGTATAAATAAAATGAGATAAAAATGTAAAAATACATGAATAAAATGTAAGACTAAATTATTTTAATAAATAGCATCTAAATATCCTCCATCAGCATAAGAGGTAGTGTCAGGGGAATAAAAGAATAGTTTACAGTGTCTAACTAAACTCACTTTTGTTGCATACAGTTAATTTGTGAAACAAGCTGTTGCAGATGGTTTAGGCAAACAATTACTGAAAATCAAGATTTGATATTTACTCCGTAAGCCTGGTCACGGCTCCTTCCTGCAGCACTTACTGATCATTAATTCACAGATAAAAACATTATCCAAAGATCAAAAAAGTTTACCGCTAATACACAGAACAACCGGGTGAGAAAAGTAAAGAGAAATATAACTGCTACAGATCATCAGCAGAAAGATTAGTAGTACAAAAAATCACTTTTGTTCAAAATAGTTTTTCTTATAAACAGTGAAGTGATATAACAACTTTAAAAAAATACTTTTTGGAAGTACGAAAATATAGTTTTTATTTATTCCACGGATGTTACACGTAGTGCCTAAAAAAGTGAACAACGAATACACAAAGAGTACAATGGAACTGGGGGAAGGCTGGGAAGGGAACAGAAAGAGAAGAGGAAGGAAGAAGCTAAAGAGCGTCCCAGTAAAGCACGAGCTAAACTTTACCGCTGCAGCTTTGTAAAGCTCTATCAAGGAAACTTAATTCGTAACATCAGTGTCACAGAGGCTCTCATGAAAGATCACAGGTACAAAAACACATGGATATGAAAGACCATGGGTAGCAATCTTCTGCCCCAAGGACAGGAAGATTTCATACTCCTTTTCTTGAACTAGTAAGAAAGTCTTCGCAGGAGGAGTTCTCCATGGCCTACCCCATCTCATACTACATAGTGAACCACTACGCTTGTTAAAGGGCCTAGACTTTGCAGGTGAAATAACCAAGCAGGAGGCTCATCTCCAAATTTTAAAGGACTCAAATTTGACATAAGCCTGATGAAATGCCAAAGGTTCCAAAGGGATCAGGGATGCAAGCTACACTAAAAACCCAGCATTGAACTAAACTACTGATAAGAAAATATTACGGTAGGATATGGGATAAAAGGTCAGATCTGCTTTGTCTATGCAGGAGCAATAAGGGAAATGAAGCATTTAAGAAAGAGCATTTCCTTACAAGGGGGAGGCTTATATGTCAAGCATCTGGAAGATCCTGAACAGATCTCCAAAGAATGGGGCTTTTCAAAGCTTGTGAGCAGCACAACACCACCACTATTTACATCCTGTTTTCACCTGCACACACGGGTTCCTGCTGATTCCTCGGGTTCCCACCTGAGGAACATGGTGCCCCTAGTACTCATGCTTACGAATCGACAGCTCAGAAATGGCAGAAAATAACAGCAATGTCACACAAATTAAGAAAGTTCTGTGTTGGCAAAAACATAAAAGAGCAATTTTAAGCCCTATTTACAGATAGTTATGCGTCCTTTAACATTCATTTCACCTACTGCAAGTCTTTTCTTTTATCCTTTTTCTGCCAAAAGATTCCTTTAGGCCTAAAACAACTTTTTTTTGTTTTTAATCTCACACTGAATATCCAGTCAATATTTTTAGGTTTGAGGCAAATAAACGAACCGGAAACATGCTAAAGCAAGTAACTTAAAGCTGAATTACAAAGAACAATGAAATAATGCCAAGAGAATGGAATAAACGTGAAAAATCAACATTTTCTGGTATACATCGTTATGTTTAACTTTACTTGGGAAGTAAATCCTAACAAAAAAAACTGTGTGAAAGTGCAAGTTTCTTATCAACATATCCCCTCAAAAATATTACAGAAGTTAGCTCTAGATTAAAAAAAATATTTAAAATGAAAGAAGTTATTGAAAGTTTCACTGCAAGTTGTCTGGACATACAAGAGCAAGTCCTGAAAAGAAGTACTGAGTAACAGTAGCTGAGATCACAAGCACTATGCTATATCTCTTTTTTCAAGAAAACGCCTTCTATCAAATGTATTTTAAAAAACTCAAATCCTATAAATGCTACTTTTGCAGACTACACCCTAGTACCACTTTATTACTAGATTAAGTCTAGCAATATGCACATCTCCTTTTATAGTGGTTATCTCACAAAAGGATCACAAACTATAGTACCTGTCAGATATACCAAAAGTCCAAGAGAGAGGTCTCCACTGTGTTTATAAAGATCTGTACTCACTTAACAACACAACACACCAACAGTTTGTTTCTCTCGTTTGTGCCTCTAGTGAGTTGTCAGCAAATGATAGTATTAGTAGCTAGTTTAGCAAGAGTCTCATAAAAAGTACTTACGATTCCAGTGCTGTGAGAAGTGGATCAGGCTCAGGTATCTCTTGGAGTTGATTGCTCTGGTCTCTGCTCAATCTTATGATATCACACAGGGTCTGGGAAGCATTTGATTGCCTCTGTGAACAACAACGTAAGAGCACATGTCAGTGCTAACTTCTCAGCCTGGCTCATCCTGGCTGTCAGAGAAAATTTAACAGCTGGGCACGCAAGAAACTGAAAAAATGAGCATTTTCAGTACAAGTGAATTATTCATCCTTATGGTTCTAATAACTCACATCAGCGTAATTATGAACAGATTTTTAAATCAAAGAGAGGGTCTTCCTGAATGTCTCAATTAAATGCAATTAACGATTGCAGAAAGTGAGGATTTTTTTAATTTTTTGACCAAGCGTGTTAACTTGTTTCAAATACAAATATTTCATTCTTGCTTATCACTACTCAGAAGCTTCCTTCCATGAACAAAAATAAATTGCTTGATAAAACCATTTAAAATTTAATTACCATGCACTAAAAAGCTTTAACGCAGTATTTTGATAAATTAACAATCTCAGCCTAGCCATTGATCAAAAACTCTCTCTAGCTACTATACCTATAGGGCCTAATGCTGCAATTCAGCACTCATCCATAAGACAGTATTGCAAAAGACATGCAAATCAGCATGCTACTTCCCATTTTCTCTCTCAGAAGGGCAATTTTTCCTGTGATAAGCCAAAGGAATCATATTATTAGCGTTAACAAAAGAATAATGTGCAATCCAATTCACTTTGCTGCTGAGAGTCACAGGAAACTTTTAACAAAGGCCCCATCTTCATCTAAATCAAAGTAAGCCAGATAGAGATATCAGTGCTTTTCCTTGCATTTTTCCTCCTCCGCATCAGCGATGGCAGTCAATACCCAACCGTAAGATGCTAGTGTAGGAAACCGAATTCCAGAACTAGAGGTTCTGGCTTGGCTGTTTTGTGACAATTATTAAAAGAAAAAAAGAAGAAAAGAAAAGAAAAGAAAAAAAAAAAAAAGAGAGCCTTTGTATGATTCAATACTCAGCATGTCTTTTTCATAGGCTCAGAGAATTCCATCTTGTAGATTTATCTGAATACTTACTTATTTATGGTCTAAGAAGAACTGAAGGTTGCAGTGAACTAGCTAAATTATGAAGTTATTCAATAGCCTGTTTCAAATAGCATGTTCCTTCTTAAACTCAAGTAAATTACCACTGACTGCAGATTCTACAACAAATTCATGCAACATCGACATGAACTAAGAAATTGGTAGCAAAATGAGTCAAAACTAAATCAAACATAAAACAAAACATTTTGGTACTAGGCTTAGCAACGAAAGGACAGGATGTCCATACAGATCATCCTTCATTAATCACCTTCCATAAGTCATCTCAGTATAATTCAAAGAGATGGAGATAGATTCTTCTGGATCTTACAAAAGCCACTGGCCACAAATACAAAACTCAAATTTTGTCATACTCACATCCTCATCCTGGCTTGAATGGATCAGTTCCACAAGTCTCTGAATAATTTTTGCTTCATTAAGCCACTGGAGGGAAAGGAAAGGAAAGCAAAAGAAAATCCTTGTTTGATATCACAGAATTCAAAACAAGAGGATCTTTGTGAAGCTTCACATAAACATAGGCTTTTCAAGAAGGGAAAGTCATTTCCCTCTATTTCATAATCAAAGTCACATGCAATGTACAATTTCCCCTCGGCGCAGAGACAGATGCATTTTAATTTGCATCAGTAAGTGTACCATGCTTATGAAACTAAAGACTTAAACGCGTTCAGAAAACAGAGAACAGGTAAGTTACGAATACTATCTCATCTGAAGTAGCATGAGCATAACTATCAATATGCTTCTCTCCTGCCATTTCCCATTCTTATACTGCTCTTTACACTGGTGCTATTACACCTTGTCTCCTTGCTCTAGTTCCAGCTTCAGACTACTGCCCTCTATTAATGCAAGCTACGCTTCATCGTCCCTCCCTGATCGCATGCAAAGAATGCCATCTGCAATCAATACATTCAAGTTACTTCCTTCCCAGCTCCATCTACAAGCTCAGCTTCTTATTTCAACAAAACCATTTCCACTCAGGTTTCTAGGGTCTTCATCCAAAGCAAATGGCTAGATGTCTAATGGCTAAGATGACTGCACTTTCAGTTGCTTTTGAAATGACTGACCAAACCTTAACTAAAGTGGGAAAAGATTTTGGAAGTTTCTGTAATGATCTTCTATCACTCTTCAGATGAGTGCCCAGCAACAGGACAAGAGGCAACGGGCACAAACTGAAACACAGGAAGTTCCACCTAAACCTGAGAAAAAACTTCTTCACTGTGAGGGTCATAGAGCACTGGAACAGGTTGCCCAGAGGGGTAGTGGAGTCTCCTTCCCTGCAGATATTCAAAAGCCGTCTGGATGTGATCCTGGGCAATATGCTCTAGAGGACCCTGCCTGAGCAGGGAGGTTGGACTAGATGATCTCCAGAGGTCCCTTCCAACCTAAACCATTCTGTGATTCTGTGAGTCATGGGGTAAACGAATGAAGTTTCCTGCCTTCTACTGCTTCTTTATAAGAAATCTCTACACGTATCTTCTATCCTTGAATACTCACTTTTTATGTTATCTGTTCACACGACTCAACTACAATCTTTACGTTGACTCTTTACTAGCTTTGCTCTAATAACCTTCCGACAGATCTCATCCTGTCCTCAGCAATGCCATATTGAATATGACCTATGTCTGACTTAAAACAAGTCAAAAATCCTAGATCATCATTTTTAGTGACTTTTGCCATCAACAACACTGCTGCTTTCCTACTAAGACTGAAATTTATGACTTTGCCTCCCTTCTCGAGTTCCATATCATTGCAAAAACACTAATGTTGTCCAGAAATCTTTCCAGCATACAGCTGGGTAATCAAGTATCTCATTCAAGACCATATTTTCAGATCTATTCAGATTTCTATAACCTCTTCTTCCTGACATCCAGTTTACCCAAAAGTCCAAAAGACTGAGCTTCTAAGACAATCTTCCTGACCAATCTCTCTACCAACCTGCCTCTTCACCTTCTTCCACTGGTTTCTAATTTTTTGGGATGAAAATCAAATTTCTGGACCACCTTCTCAGGCCCATGAAAGTGCAGTTGATCCCTGCTTGGTCCATGTCTTAACACATCAGTCTTGCCCCCTCCATTCCACTAAAAAAGCAATAATCCTTTGCTTATTTGTTTATTTATTCTAACAAGTATCTTTTCTCATTTCCATGTAGTCGGGTATGGCTACTGAACTCCCTCTTTCAAACCCTAAGCTTCTGACGATAGTTAAGGTAGTTGTTAGTTGGCAATTTACCAAAACAGCTTCATCAAGATTAATTAAAATCTCTTCATTTATATCTTCTAAGGAACTGCTGCCGAAATCCATCAGTTGTGCCTACTGGCAAGCTCTCTAACAATAAAATTACCCATCTCCCCTCTCTGTGTGCACTATTTGCATGTTTCATCTTTTCATAATCAGTTACATACCCCATGTTTGGACAGCACTAGGACTACAACCCCAGGTTTTAACTGCAATCCCTGGATATTCCCATTGCATAATATTAATAACAAAAAATTATATCCATTTTTACCTGTAAGTTTCCTTTCTTCAAAAAATAAAGTCCATAGGAATGTTGCAGTGGGTACTTCAGGCTATTTGTTATTTCAGGCAGAACTGGACTTGCCAATCACTGTCAGCAAAGGAATGTTTTACCTACAGAAGTCCCATCTAGCCATACGACTTCCACAGTCCAGAAGAAAACAACATATTGAGTTAGACACTCCTGCATGAAATGCATTTTTTTCTACTGCAGAATATAGTAAATTAAATCTCAAACCTCCATTGTAGTTTCCATTTTATTCTGTTTCAATCTTTTTTTTTTTTTTCCCCCTTAGAGTGGTTGGACCTGTGGGCCTTATTAATTAAAAATGTAAGTTAAAAGGTAAGCATGGCTAGGAAGTTTTGTTCTTTGTGCCTAGACTGCGAGAACAATGGGTTCCGGAGGGAAGTAAACGGCCACAGAAAAAGGGACTAAGGAGAGGAAGCATGAACATCCATCTGAACACAGAAATTACTGTTCTTGGAAACTGAGACACAGAAAATGTAATTTAAAAGGGAAAAACCAACTGAAACAATCCGTTAAGATCAGAAGAGCAACACCAAAACGTCTTGAATTAAGAGGCTAATGTCTACGAGATGGACTTTAATATTCACTAGAAAAGGAATAATCTTCTATTTACTCCTCAAATAAAAGCTGTGCCAATTGCAAGGCCTCTCCTATCTGGACTGAAGTACAATACTGTTACCTCAGCACCTCCCTTAAGAGAAAGATTCACACTTGAGATACAGACTCTACTGACTACATGCAGGTCAGCAGGATAAGTAATACATTTGCAAGGAATTGACAGACAGACGACTTGTGCCTACTCATTCTACAGGAAAAGGAAGAATGCAGCAAACAGGATCGGCAAGCAGGAGTTAGGCAGTTTATGTAGCAGCTGTTCGCCAACAAAGCCAAGCTTCTGCTTCATCTGCTGCTTCACGATTAGGGAGTGTTAGACTTATAACCAACTGCTGCTGGGCAATACCTGTGTAACTTTTGTCCACAGAAGAACAGAAACAAGCAGGGCATGCAAACTGGTCCACACAAACAGGGACCTGGCAGTTAATGCGGCAGGTGGCACGGAAGGCGGCCTGGAGGCACTACTTGAGGCTGTATGCCACTGGAAGAGTCAGTGCAACCACAGTGGTGACATGCCAGGAGGCACGGTTGCCAGGTTACCTGCTGAGGCAACTGTATCTGGCATGAGTGGCCTCAACTTAGGCGGACGTCCTGAGAGAGAACATGGCCAACCAGGTCTCAGGCAGCAGGGAGTGCTTGGTGCTGCTCCCTGCTGGAAATAACGGTCTCACCTGTGGCACACGCACTCTCAGCAAGGCACTGTGCTGCCAGGTGAAGAAGTTATGGAGAGGAGGGGAGAAGGTAATGTATTATCAGCACGGGATGAAGATTCCCAAGTTGGGAGTGGCTGGAAGCTGGCAACATGAGAGACGCTCCTTCACCACCTGCAGATATGTGCTTACAGAATATGTTCAGTGGCATGATGGTAACAGGTGAGGAGGAACAAGTTTCCTCAAGGGAGTCATCAGAACCAGCTGAGCCTGAACCATGCATCCATTCCAAGAGGAAGCAGCAGATGAGAGCAACTGGAAGCTCCCTTTTGCAGGGAATGGAAGAACCCATTCACCAACCAGATATGCTGTTTGGAGAAGTATGTTGCTTGTCAGGAGCTCAGATTCCCTAATGTGCGGTGAGACTTCCAAGGCTCATCCAGGCCTTGAACTGTCACACCTTCCTGCTCATCCATGTGTGCACCAATATTACCGCCAAGGGAGACCTTAGGCATATCAAAAGTGACTACAGGACCCGTGCAGGGGGACGCCCAGCATGCTGCCTGTCATATTCTTTGCCAGTTTCAAATCTGGCTGAGCTTTCGCTTTCCTAGTAACATCCCTGAATGCTTGGGCAATTTCTCACTATTGCTCCTGGGTAGTCCATCCCCACTTGCAGTCTCTGTACTTCCTGTTTGTGCTTGAGCTTAGATAGGAGTTCCCTGTTCATCCATGCTGAGCTTCTCCCATGCCTGCTTGACTTTCTGCACATCAGGATGGGCCATTTTGCTTAAATACTCTTTGATTCTTACCTTCCTCTACCATCAGTAATGCTTCACTCCCACAGGTTCTGCTACTAGGATCAAGGACTTTGGAGGACTAAGGGTAGACATTACCAGCAGAAAACTCAGTCAATAGCAGAAGCCAATACTGTTAAGCATTTTCATTAAAGACCTGGCAAAAGGGGAAAAAAGCACCCTCAGCAAGTTCAGGAACAATACTAAGTTGGATGGCAGCAGTTGGTATACAGGAGGGCAGGGCTGCCATTCAGAGGAACCTAGACAGGCTGGAGAAATGAGCTGGAAGGAACCTCAGAAAGTTCAACAAAGGCAAAAAGTAAAGTCTTGCACTTGGGATGGAATAACTCTGTGCAGCAGGACAGGATGGGAAGCAACTAGTGAGGAAGCAGCTTTGCATAAAAGGCCCAAGGGATCCTGGGGTTCACTCCACCAGGACTCTGCAGTTCACCCTTGCAGCAAAGATGACCCACCACATCCCAGGCTGTGATGGTACAAGAGCAGCCAGCTGAGTAAGGGAAGTGATTGCTCCCCACTAATCGGCACTAGTGAGACCTATCTGGATACTCGGTCCAGTTTGGGATTCACCAGTATAAGACAGACTGCAATACTGGAGTGGGTCCCACGGAGGCCACTGAGATGGCTAGGGGCTAGAGCACCGGACCCTGTCTTGCACGGTCAGTATTTCAGAAAGTATATTATATTAGGACTTCAATAAAACTTCTTTTTTCTGAAACCTGCTGAAAATATACCTAGTAAGGGGTGTAACTTTGGCTGGAATATTCCTATTCAGATACAATAAAAGAAAGTAAGTTCATGCTT